TCAGATTTCAACCTCCGTGCTGGGAGATCCACTGCTCTCTTCAAAGCTGTCAGACAGGGTCATTAACATCTGCAGAGGCTTCTGCTGCTTTTTTTTTTTGTGATTCTTATTTTTTTTTTTGGCGATGCCTTGTCCCCAGAGGTGGAGTCTACAAAGACAGGCAGGCCTCCTCGAGCTGCAGTGGGCTCCACCCAGTTCGAGCTTCCTGGAAGCTTTGTTTACCTACTTAAGTCTCAGCAATGGTGGGTGCCCCTCCCCCAGCCTTACTGCTGCCTTGCAGTTAGATCTCAGACTGCTGTGCTAGCAATGAGGGAGGCTCCGTAGGGCGTGGGACCTTCCCAGCCAGATGTGGGATATAATCTCCTGGTGTGCCATTTGCTAAGACCCTTGGTAAAGTGCAGTATTAGGGTGGGAGTTACCTGATTTTCCAGGTGTCATGTGTCTCAGTTTCTAAAGGGATTCCCTTCCCCCTTGTGCTTCCCAGGTGAGGCAATGCCTCGCCTTGCTTCAGCTTTAGCTGATTGGGCTGCACCAGCTGACCAGCACCGATTGTCTGGCACTACCCAGTGAGATGAACCCAGTACCTCAGTTGAAAATGCAGAAATCATCGATCTTCTGTGTCACTCATGCTGGGAGCTGGAGGCTGGAGCTGTTCCTATACAGCCATCTTGCTCGCACCTCCCACAGCTTTGTAATTTCAATAGCTTTAGTAGTTTTTGGTTACATGGATGTATTCTATAGTGGTGAAGTCCCCTTTAAGTGTACCTATCACCTGAATAGTGTACATTGTACCCAAAAGGCAATTTTTCATTTCACTCCTCTCCTACCAACCCCCTTCTCTTTCTCCACAGTCCATGACACCAGTCTGTATGCCTTTGCATCCCCATAGCTTATCCCACTTAATGAGAACCTGTGGTATTTCATTCCTGGTTTACTTCACGTAGGATAATGGCCTCCAGTTTCATTCAAGTTGCTGCAAAAGATATTAATTCATTCTTTTTTACAATTGAGTAGTATTCCATGGTATATGTATATATGTGTGTGTGTTTTTACATATATATATATATTTATACACAGACACACACATATGTGTATGTGCATATTTATATATGACACATTTTCTTTTTCTTTTTTTTTTCTTTTTTTTTGAGATCGAGTCTCGCTTTGTTGCCCAGGCTGGAGTGCAGTGGCGTGATCTCGGCTCACAGAAAGCCCCACCTGCCAGGTTCACACCATTCTCCTGCCTCAGCCTCCAGAGTAGCTGGGACTACAGGCGCCCGCCACCACACCCAGCTAATTTTTTGTATTTTTAGTAGAGACAGGGTTTCACCTTGTTAGCCAGGATGGTCTCAATCTCCTGACCTTGTGATCCACCCACCTCAGCCTCCCAAAGTGCTGGGATTACAGGCGGGAGCCACCGCACCCGGCATACACCATATTTTCTTTATCCACTCATCAGTTGATGGGGACTTAGGTTGATTTCATATCTTTGTGCAATTATGAATTATGCTGTAATAAACAGATACGTGCAGGTATCTTTTTAATATAATAACTTTTTTATTCCTTTGAACAGAATCCCAGTAGTGGGATTGCTGGATCAAATGGTAGATCTCCTTTTAGTTCTTTGAAAAATCACCATACTGTTTTTCACAGAGGTTGTACTAATTTACATTCCCATTGGTAGTGTATAAGCATTCCTTTTTCACTGCATCCATGCCTACATCTGTTGTTTTTTGACCTTTTAAAAATGGCCATTCTTACTGGGGTAAGGTAGCATCTCACTGCAGTTTTAATTTACATATGCCTAATAATTAGTGATGTTGAGCATTTTTTCATGTTTCTTGGTCACTCATATATCTTCTTTTGAGAAATATCTGTTCATGTCATTTGCCCACATTTTAATAACATTATTTCCTTTTTGTTTTGCTGATTTGAGTTCCTTGTAGATTTTGGATATTAGTCTTTTGTCAGATGTATAGTTTGCAAATATTTTCTTCCATTCTGTAGGTTGTCTATTTACTCTGTTATTTCTTTTGTCATGCAAAAGGTATTTAGTTTAATTAGGTCCCATTTATTTTTCTTTCTGTTGTATTTGCTTTTGGAGTCTTTGCCATAAATTATTTTCCTGTGCCTATATCCTGTGGAGTTTTTCTTAGGTTTTCTGTGAGAATTTTTACAGACTCAGATCTTAGATTTAAGTCTTTAATTCATCTGAGTTAATTTTTGTGTATGGTGAGAGATAGTGATCCAACTTCATTCTTCTACATGTGGCTATCCAATTTTCCCAGTATCATTTACTGAATACATATTTTTTTCTACTCGGTCGAAGATCAGCTGATTGTAAGTGATTGGCTTTATTTCTGGGTTCTCTATTCTGTTCCACTGGTCTATGTGCCTACTTTTATACAAGTGCCATGGTGATTTGGTAACTATAGACTGGTAGTATAACTTGAAATCCACTCATGTGATGCCTCCAGATTGTTCTTTTTGCTAAGGATTGCTTCAGCTATTTTTTGGTTCCATATGAATTTTAGGATTGTTTTTTCTAATTCTTTGAAAAATGATGTCAGTATTTTGATAGGAATTGCATTACATCTGTAGATCGCTTTGGACAATATGATGATTTTCAAAATATTGATTCTTCCTATCCATGAGCATGGGATATTTTTCCATTTGTCTGTGTCATCTCTGATTTCTTTCATCAGTGTTTTGTGGTTCTTGTTGTAGTGATCTTTTACCTCCTTTGTTAAATATATGCCTAGGTATTTTATTTTTTGTAGCTATTGTTAATAAAACTGAGTTCTTGATTTTATTCTCAGCCAGTTGTTATTGGCATACAGCAGTGCTATTGATTTGTGTACATTGATTTTGTAACCTGAGATTTTATTGAATTCAGTTATCAAATGTAAGAGTCTTTTGAGGGAGTCTTTAGGGTTTCCTAGGTATACGATCATATCATTAGCAAACAGAAATAATTTGATTTCCTCTTTTCCAATTTGGATGCCCTTTATTTCTTTCTCGTGCCTGATTGCTCTGGCTAGGACTTCCAGAATGAGGATTCTTAAGGGAAAAGAAATCACTTTGCTCTCTAAGCAAAAAAACATTGACGATTGACTCAGCAAGCCTAGATGGTTCAAATCCTGCACACTCTGAAATAAGATCTGTCCCTTGAATGACTCTCAGAAAATACACTTCACACTCTTGGAATATTCTGCTGGATAACAGATCTTTCGTCACCTTGGGACTTGGGCCATGCCAGATGGTTGATGCTAAAAATGTGACTTGTGTTAGGGCTCTAGGACCATGAGATATCAATTTGACCTCTGGAGAGATGGGAAACTGAGTAAGATCAGCCATGTAGGGTATTTGATGGCTACATAACTGACCCCCCAACAAAAACTCTGGACACCAGAGCTAGGTGACGTTTCCTGGTTGGCAACCCATATTGTTGCTGGAGAGTCAAGCACTGTCCATATATCTCTACTGGGCAAGGACAGCTGGAAGTTTGTACCTTGTCTCTCGTGGACTCTGCCATGAATGCCCTTTACCTTTTCTGATTTTAATCTGTGTCCTCTGAAGGTAATAAATGGTAATTATGAATATAACTGCTATTCTGAGCCCTGGGAGTCCTTCCAGGGCATCACTGAGCCTGGAGATAGTCATGGGGCTCCCCAACACACGCTTTCAACAGTAAGTAATGAAGAGAGGCTATGTTGCAGGGTAGAAAAACATATCAGAACTGAATCCCCACTCTGCCATGCACCTCTGGGTGATCTCATTGAAATCAGTTTATTTGTTCATCTCCTTTGAGATTTCAATACGATTCTACATTATATATTCATCCATTTTAAAATTAAATATTCGTTGAATGTGCCACCTTTTTGTCACATAGTAGATGTTCAAAAAGTGGCTAAAGGTAGGGATGATTAATTGATTTGGCCAGTATGTGAGCTTCTTCACTCTATTTTAAGTTCGTTAGGTTAGGTAAGGACTCTAAATTTGGACATATGCCTCTCTACAAGTTTGTAGACAGGTAAGTTCACGGTTTGTAGTTAATAAATGAGCATTTTCATATGGTTACTTGGTTGCCATTTTCTCTTTATTATCTTGAGCCAAGTCCTCTGATTTCAAACAGTGTTTTTTAAATCAATTGTGTAGTACTAGAGGCTTGGGAAAACAGCCTAGATATAAAAATCCTCGGGACAGCGCCAGAATAATATTTGGAATATAGTAAGTGTTAGTTGAACATAAACACCTAGAGGATTTTGTTCCAAACACTATTGAATAGGTATATACATTTTCTTTCTTATGCAATAACTGAAATACCAGAAAAATGAAGACTTAGGATATGGAATGAAATATAATTTTTTGCCCAATTTTTACCAATGACTACTACACTGGGGGGATGCCTTTGTTGTGGGGTGAATTGTGTCCCCTCAAAAGATGTATTCAAGCTCTAATCCCTGGTACTTGTGAATGTGACCTTGTTTGGAAACAGGGTCTTTGCAGATATAATAAAACTATGATGAGGCCATACTTAATTAGAATAAGCCCTAATACAATGACTGATGTCCTTATTAGAAGAGGACAACTTGGACACAGAGGGAAGATGGCCTTGTGAAGACAGAGGCAAAGATTAGAGTTATACTGCCACAAGCCCAGGAATGCTAAAGATTGCTAGCAACCACCAGAAGCTGGAACAGACAAAGAAGGAGCCCTCCTTAGAGCCATCAGAGTGAGCATGATCCTGCCAACACCCTAATTCCAGACTTATGCCTCCAGAAATGTGAAATAAGTTTCTGTTGCATTACACAAAGCCACCCAGTTGTGGCAGTTTGGTACAGCGGCCCAGGCAGCCAACACACAATGCATCCCCCATTCTATCTTGTCATACATAGGTTTTTGGTTATTGTCTATTAGTGCCTTGACAGAATATAATCTGCTTCCTGGAAGGTAAAAGGAAGCGGCCAGGAAGGTGGAGGCAGAAGGAAGTGACTCACCACAGGACTTCGGCCAATGCTGCTCAGGTGGTAGAGGAGGCCTTTTGCATGGTAAATGGTTGGCTGCAGATGAGCACTGGGAGAAAGCCATTGTCTGTTCAAATCTTCCCCGCTCAGTGAGCATCTGTGGCTACAGGAACAAACAATAAGCAAATAAATACACATTCAGAAGAAAATAACTTGAGAAAATAAAGCTCCACAAGATAAACAATTAAACTAATGAGTTCAAAACTTTCCTCTGATTTCTGCCCAATTGGCATCAATTTCAGACGTCCAGAAAGCTGTAGAGCTGTCCTTTAAGCTCCAAAGTATCATAATTATTCACAACCCCCAAATGAACTAGAAACCATATTTGACTTGCTGTTGGATTATCAGAGTTTTAAGACAAAGTTGGAAAATGTAGTTCTCTATTATATACATCCATGGGGAATAAATTTAATAAATTTCTCTAGGCTATGGATTCTTCAGTTCTACAGATAATTAAGTTGTATTCAATCTATCATACTGGGTGTGTTACATATGATATTTCCAGCTGGTTCAATAACTCTGCAAGGTAGACATTAGAGCACCCCAATGAAGAGACTGAGGCTTAAGTATGATTAAATAAATGGCTGGAGATCTAGGTCATAAGAAAGAGCTAGGTTTCCCCCCCAGGTTTATTTGCTTCGAACCCTTATTCTCTCTCTTTTATTGCACTGCTTGACATTTACCAAGAGAATCAGAGTGCCTTTTTCAAATATATCATCATGGTATGTTAGAGCAAGAATGAGCTCAAAATCATACATTCCCTCATTTGGGGAATGATGATGTTCATATTCAAAAGTGCCAAGTTACTTTACAAAAGTGACCCAGCTGGTAGTGAGAGGATTGACCACCATTCACAGTGAGGAAACTGAGATGCTGAGTTGTCAGGTAGAGTGATCCTAAAAACCCACAACCACCAGAGATTACCAAGGGCAGCCCCTGCACAGGACATGTTCCCAGTAGTCCTGCTAAAGTATTATTTACTCAATAGTGTCAATGAGCTAAGTGCCACAGATTGGGAGGATCAGCACAGCATCTCCAAAACCTCCAGCACCCCCAGCTCCTCCCAAGCCCTCCACCATTGTCCTTCTGCACCCAAGCTCAATGGAATTACTAACAGTTCCCACTCGACTTATGGCCTCCAGAAATGTGAGATAAATTTCTGTTGTTTTAAGCCACCCAGTTTGTGGTAATGTGCAGCAGCAGTCCTAAGAAACCAATACACAATACATCGTCCATTCTATCTTGTCATACATAGGATTTTGCTGGGGCTCCTCCATCCTCATGCACCCTTACCTCTTCAACATTTAGGGGATCAATCTGCAGGGGAATTTTCTCTGATTTTCCAGGTCATTGCATCCATCTCCTATTTGCTGCAATAACATCCTGAGGCCGCCTTGATCAGAGTCCTTATGAAACCATTTTGGATGGATTTTTATTTTTATGTCTCTTGACTTCCCAATAAGACTAGGAGCTTCCTGGGGGCAAGGACAGTGATAGTCTCTTGGTCACCATCAAAACTCTAATATAGTAACTCTGTCAGAGTTGATATTGGGTAAATAATTTGGAAAGAATAAATTTACCAGCATTCATATGCATATTCAGATATGATTTCTGTTTTGTTTTGTTTCAAACACACTGTTTTCAATAAACATTGGAGGTAAAAAGAAGGTTCAGTCTTCAGTCTTCTCCTTTTACCACTTATTCATTTCCATGTTCCTGAAATTATCTTTAAATATTAGCTTCCTGCTGGCTGTCAGACCCTCTTACAACTTACTGGAAACTGCAAATCTTTAGATTAATCACTTATCCTGATTTCTCCATTAAAATATTTTGACTTGATAAATGGCAGGTCTTGTACATATTCCTCTCTGGCTTTTTTTGTTCTTTGCCTGCTTTTTTTCTCCCTTTCTCTTTTTAATAGCAATAACATCTAGAAATAGGGTTTATCAGTTCTGCCTGATGACCAAGGATGAAGGTAAAATATGAAGCAGATTTTCAATGCCGATAGCAATAGAAAGGAACAGGCAGCCCAGACTTGCTCTCGAGCACATTTGCTGTGTTTAAATGAATTTCTTTTCTCAAATCAAGGTACTTGCAGGCACAACATCCCAGAGCCCCAGGATTCTCTTTGACTGCTCTGTGATTTCTCTTTGCCTTGACCTGGATTCTCATCAACACTGGGGATTTGTTTTTTCCTTTGTAACACTGACTATGATGAAATTAGTTGAGGCCCTTTAAAAGCATTTCTGCTTGTATAAATGAAAATGCAAGCATTACATGTGTCCAGCAGCCAGCAATTCTGTATGAACTCTCTCTACGTCTTCTTTCCCTATGCTCCATGGAAACCAAGTTCAGGGGCAATATCTACATGGAGAAGGCTCACGTATTACCACCTTGCAGAAATACTATTTTAGATCACAATTTCCAAGAACAAAAAAATAAAGTTTTGTGCTGAAGCCAGAAACCCAAATTTGAATAAGATGACCTAGTTCCAACTCCAAGCTGCTACCAGATATAGGATTTGAGACCTCTTTGACAATCAGCATTCTCATGTGTGAAATAAATAAGTCAAACATCCCCCTAGGTTTATTTTGAGGATCGAATGAAATATCTATTTTAGATATCCCTATAGAGAAATACCGTATACTTCTATCTCTACCTATGTCTGTGTCCATGACTATATCCACATCTGTATCTACGTCTACATCTTCATCTACATCTAAAATGCTCTAGGATGCATAGCACAACTTTGACTACATTCACTGGTCCCTCACCTCATCCTAATTTTTTTTTCTTATAAAGAATGATCAGATAGCTATATGCAGGGTGAATGGAAGGGAAAAGTGTCTTGACTAGGAACTCCAGGCAAGACGCTGTGATCAGTTTTAAGTAACAGTTTACTTGGACACATCTAAGGGTAAGGGCAGTAGGCTGAACAGAAAAGAATTTAAGAAAAACTGAAAAGAAATAATCAGTAGAAATTGCTGATTGAAATTTGGATTGTTAAACAGCGCACAAAGGAGGACCACATCTAAGATTATCTAAATATAGAGATTTGGAGAGAAATTGGGCCAATGTAAGACATACAGAAGAAAGCTCTTATTTTGGGGAAAATTTGGTTTGTTTGTTGTCTTTTTTGGAGAGGTAGAGGCAATGAATCATTCCATTTGTGCAGATAGATTGTGTGGATTTGGGAAACCCATGTGATTGTATTTGTCTTCGGGACTCTATGGTGGTTATGATTTGGAGAGTATCTCTGTGTGTGCCTAGGGTTTTGGCAGTCCCTATATCTATGCAATTGCAGGTTATTATAATATGTACAACACCTCGAGTGCTTTTCCTTTTAAAGTAAATCCATTTGCTTCCAATCTCTGAATCCATTTGGCATTTCGTGTTAATAATATCAGAGATTCGTGTAGTCAGAGGAACTGTTGCTGCTCTTCCTAGGGATTTGTTTCAAGCATTTGAAGATAAAATGCACTCCATCTTCTTATCTACTGTAGCATTTCTGAAATGACAGCTGCTCCTTCTATGGGGGGAGAATTAGCAGATGGACAGCTATGACTGACTGGCAATAAATTCAGTGTCTATAATCTGAAAAGGGGTCCTCTCTCAAATAGTTTGAAGTTCTGCTTTCTTTATAAGAATCATAAAATGGTGATTATTGCTACAGTTGGCCCTCCGTATCCATGAATATGGAGGGCCAACTGTACTAAGCCATTTTATATAAGAGACTTGAACATCCACGAATTTTGGTATCCATGGTAGTGGGTGTGGGGAAGGTGTCCTGGAACCAATAATCTGCAAATATCAAAGCACGATGTTATTTTTCCCTCCACTAAAAACTGCAAAGTTAAAGGAAAAAATTATCCACTTCATTTTGTTTTTCACAAATAAAGACATTTGATCTGACTTGCCCCCCTTATTTTAAAAGGCTTTAGTTTAAATAGCTGGTTTAAGATAAAGTTTATATGCACTAAATATGCCAGATCTAGGATGCTCAGATATCCAGTTTGTCTAGGAATGTTGCATTTTTAGCTTTGAAATGCTTGCATCCCAGTGACTCTCTCAACAAATGCACACCAGAAATGTAATAACCTTGCCTAGATCCTTAATTTTAGAAGGTGGTGCAGAGCTAGAATACTTGACCAAAACTAGGCTGAATTATTTTGCACTGACTGAATGTTTTTAGGCGGGACTTTCACACTCCACTGAGGCTCAGGCATCCTTATCACCTATGTTTTCCTAGATTGTTTCCCATATGCATTATCTTCCTGTTCTTTTCAGGCATTTGCAGCCAATGTCTGGAAAATTCCTAATCCTTAAAACTGAGGTTTTTTCTCCAGCCTGGGTGACAGAGCGAGACTCTGTCTCAAAAAAAAAAAAAAAAAAAAAAAAAACTGAGGTTTTTGTGGGGCATATCTCTTTCCTTAAGAAAAGAGAAGAAAGCTTCTGATCTCCAGAAAATATGGTCATTTTATGATGAAACAAAAGCATCTCAACTGAAGTTATCAAAGAGTCAATCAGCAGCACTAGTCCTAACTAAAGGGTCACTGAATAGAAGCCACCAGCTGCACGATATTCTGAGTAAAAGGGAACTTTAAAGGCTGGACAGTTTCAAGGACAATGATGTAACTAAAAATAATTCTTTTAACATTAATTGTGGATCTCGTTTATCTGCTGAGAACGGGGATCATCCAGAGGTTGAGAGACAAGTAATACAACCAAGGGCTTTAACAACTAGATCCTGAACTACCAGGACTCCTAAAGCCAAGAAAGGACTGCAAGCAGAGGAAGAGTAAAAGTGAATCACTTTCTAAAAACGAATCTATAGAGCTGCCTTCAGAATACAAGAGGATTAAAAAAATCTCCCATCCGTCCACAACTAAAAAGTAGAGGGACAGAGTCCATCAGACTGAATAAATGATCCCAGGCTCGATAATATTAGTGCCTGCAGCACAGCAAGCTCTGGAGCCTAAAGAGAGGCAGCATGTTTGAGATTTAGGCAGCAGCTTCGCCATTCACTACACATCCTAGGTGCAGAAGGCAGCAAGGGTGCAAGAGGAGAATATCTATGAAGGCAAAGAGATACATTAAAGCTTC